CCCCAAAACCCCAAAACCCCTTAGTTCCTTATGCTAATAAGACTGTAATACTTAAAAGTATTAAATATAACTTTAATAAGAATTGAGCGACAATTGATAGTTAAGTATTGTTTTATCGTTCAGAGTCCTTTATTAAATACCAATTCTTATATGATACTGCCCTGAGCATCCTTTAACTCGAAGAACTCAGCTTCTAAATCTTTGGACCTAATGGTAGCTGTCTGTGGGTATACTCCTATTGCAAAAGGTACTGCAATATATAGTTCACATGAAATTAAACTGACTTCGAGTAATGTCTTGAGATAGTAGTTTTTGGGCATTTTGCCTTGCTTTTCAATTAGGTAGAGCATAGTTGGTGGGAAGAAAATAGGGAATGCTAGGAAAAATCTTGAATTAGCAGTTTACTGTACAGCTTTTTTGGCTGCGATTTAAGATTTCCCAACAACTTTACCGTCTGGATCCATTACGTCAATACCCTTCTTAAGCTCTGTCTTTCTCATAAAGAAAGCATTCAGATAGCCTGCAGTAGAGCAAGCAAAGAAACTACTGATTGAATTAAGTACGATTAATCTAGCTCCAACTGCCTTGCTCGAATAACCTGATAAAAGTCTTCTCACTCCAAGTGCAACACCAATTGATGAACCTACAGCGACGAGATAACTTTGCATAATATCAGATGTAGTGTAAGGGGAGGTTGCATTTCTATTTCCATAGTTCATTAAGGCATTGTAAGTTTGATTTATCCATTGCCAAAAGATTGTGTTGAATGGAGTTGGTGCTGCTATAATGAAACCAAAAGCGATGGGGATATTGCAAGGCAAGAATGAACTAAGTCTGCATACCCAGGGGATGAACTCACCAGTATCTGGATGAATAGCTGTCGATACGACTGTCTAGGCAGTTCTTAGAGTTTTAATTTCCTTTCTAGATAGTGGTATTCTACGATCACCTGTTTCCTACAATTAAATCTCCTCTCTCTTTTTCTAGTCCTCTAGTAATTGCCTTAAAGCGTCAATCTTAGTGTTGGTAAAGAAGGCGAAAACTGGGTTGCTGGTCTTCTGGAAAGCTCTAAATCTACCGAAATAGGTATTTTGATCAAACTCTGGTTCTTCTAGAGTGAAAGGTATCAAACCTGCTTTTTGAGTTGCAGACATTTTTGAAGAAAATTTAAATATAAACAAGATTAATTATTTTAGCTTAGTTTCAGTATCGACTTAAAGATATACTTGCGGGGTTTTGGGGTTTTGGGGTTTTGGGGTTTTGGGG